CCACCGTACGTCTCTCTCTCTCTCTCTCTCTCTCTCTCTCTCTCTTTTGTTTATCTCTCTAGTGCACTGGTATCTCTTATTGGGAACCATTTGTTCTCCCAGTCTTCTATTCAGCCATTGCTGCTCTCTTGCAGTTGCCATATACCACATTGATTCGACTAACTATTTGCTTCAAAATACACCATAGAGATGTTATCGTCTCTCTCTCTGTATAATAATCTCTGGCAATCCTCTATTGTTTGAGTGATAGGCTAGCTCTTTGCTTTGTTACTGCAATCTAAAGACGTTTTCTCTACAAGAGTCATAACTTTGTGTTATAGCTCCTTAATAGCTAGAATCTTACCTTTTCTTCTCCATGGCCGACATGCAGTTAATTTGATGTTTATGGAAGTAATTAAGCGTAGTATTTGGAGTTCTGGCTTCTTGGGCATTTTGGAATCAACTTTCTTGAATGTTAGTTAAGGAAAATATGCTTTCACCAAATGCTTGAGGAAAATTTGAAGTAATTCTTTTATTTACTCTTGCCCTATACAACTAGCATGGACTAAGCTTAGCTTCGTTCTATGGAGTTAAAGAAGGAATCAGTCTAGTTGTTCTTACACAAATTTCTCAGAAGACAAGAATTACCATATTCCTTTTAAGTTCTCTGAGATGTTGTGGGTTTTTCGTTGTTTATTTATGTGGATTTGGAACTGTCTTATGGTCTTTTTTATATGTGTTAGACCATGCGTTTAACCCTCTATGTTCTCGAGTCCATAGTGCTGTAGTCTTGGCATGCATCTTTCATATAACCTCATCTTTTGAAGATAATGATTAAGTCCTTAACTTTCTATAGGAAATGCTTACTAGGAAATGGATCTCTATAGTCTAATTGACCTTATGTTGTATTCCTTCTCAGAGCTCAAGAAATCTCTCTATGCTATATTCTCTCAGTTTGGAAAGATATTGGAGGTTCTTGCATTTAAGACGTTGAAACATAAAGGGCAAGCATGGGTTGTTTTTGATGATGTCCAATCTGCAACTAATGCACTAAGGCAAATGCAAGGGTTTCCCTTTTATGACAAGCCAATGGTAGGCATATTGGATGGTTATACTTTATAACTTATGTTTGCACTTCTTGTTTCTACAACGGTGTTTTGGATGTTATTTGTTAATATTTTACTTTTGATTATGTTGTCTTATCAAATGTGATACAATATGAATGAATAAATTTTCTTTGATTAAGTCATAAGTAAGAACGGTTTCGTAGCATAGTCGATGTTTGTTAGCTTGAATGATTCAGCAAGTGGATCAAAAAAGTTTAAAATTAATATTCATACATGTGTTATAAAATTAGCCGGTATGGAATGCAAGTTTAGTAATAATAGGAGTAGAGACGATGAAGTAGTTAAGATTGACGGCCAAGAAGTACAAATAAGATTGCACTTTTAATATCTTAGGTCGATAATCCAGGAAAATGGAGAGATTGAGGAAGATGTCGCACATAGAATTAGAACTGGGTGGGCGAAGTGAAGATGTGCAACTGGAATTTTATGTGGCCATACCAATGAAGCTGAAGGGAAAGTTCTATAGAATAATTGTGAGACCAGCTTTGTTTTCTGGGGCGGAATGTTACGCTGACAAAAAATAGTATACCCATAAAATGAGTGTAGCGGAGATGAGGATATTGAAATGGATGAGTGGTAAAACAAGAAGGGATGGAATCCGAAATGAATCCATTTAGGAAAGTTTAGGTGTGGCACCAATAGGCGATAAGATGAGAGAGAGTAGACTTAGGTGGGCTGGTCATGGGTGGCGTCGACCCAATACATCAGCTGTTAGGAGGTGTGAGTTAGTTCAAGTGGAAGAATTGAAAAGGGCAAGGAGTAGGTCCAAAAGGATGAGGTTGGAAGTAGCCTGAAAAGATATGAGGCTTATGGCCTCACTGAGGGTATGACCTTAAATAGAGCAGAATGGCGGACCAGGATTCGTGTAGCTGACCCCAATTAATTAGGAAAAGGCTATGATGATGATGATGATGATACATGTATGTGTTATGCATTCTTGTTTGGCCATTTTACAATGCAAACGTCACATTTACAGCTTAGTTGATTGATCTGTAGAGCAAAATTTTAGCACATATGCAAGGCATCATCTTCGTAATTAAGCATGATTAAGAACATACTTGACGCATTTGAATTCTAAAACAATAAAAAACATTTAATTTTTTAAAAAGATTAAAATAAATATTAGTTAGAAATCAAACTAAAAATATGGAAGGATGTAAATTATGTTGGGAAAATATACCATGCACCTGTATATATCTTGCTTTGATATAAACTACTTCCCAGACTATCTGATGTTGATAATGAATGGCCAATAAGTGTCATTTCTTCAGTTGAAGTTAGTTTAAACATCTAGAGTGATGGGGTATTGAAGGCCCCATATCATTTGTTGTTCACATGGGAGTTGAGGGACGTGATTATATCCATGCAAGATATGCATAGATATAAATATTTGCTATAATATTGGAGCCTTATTTTAATTTCATTTACCAAATGAAAATGTGCTGCTCGAGGCGTAGTTTCCTTATGTGTGGATAAATGATGGAAAAAACTAAAACTCCACTAATAACTAAAAGGAATACTGAAAGGACTGACTGACTATTATGCAGTGGTCTTTTATTCATTAATTTTGATACTTCATCCAATGTTTAAGAAGGCATGGGGCACCAGCTAGGGAGGTGCCTCATGATTGATGCACCCTAAAATAGTTTTTTTCTTTTGGTTTTTTTTCATGGAGAGCTTAAAAAAGCCTGAGTTTTAGTGTGTTTTGTGTGCTTCTGTTTTTTTTGAGTGAGGTAGTGGGGAGAGGGCTCCTACCCTTATTGTGCATTCATACATGAGTTTGAAACTTGAATAATTAAAACTCTTAAGGGGTTCGTTTGGGTACCTGGAAATATATTGTCTGCGAAATCTATTACTGATGTAATATATTACTGGCGTAGTACATTACCTACAAATAGATTGTTAGTGTTTGGGTAGTGTCTAGATGCAACCTGGGAAATAAATTGCTACTGTTTGGCTATGTTTGGAAGAAATTTGAGAAATATATTACCGACATCAGGGTTAGGAATTTTTGTGTTAATTTTATCTATAGTAATGTGGTTTTTTTTTTAATTCCCTTTTATTTTCTTTTTAGGATAAAAAATCAATTAAAACTACTTTGTTTTCTAATATGTAAATGTAATATCCGCGAGGGTTAATTTTATCCGGCAACAGTTACCCAACAAGTTTGAATTTGCGCCATAAAAACATTAAAAGGCAAACCCATAATAACTCAATAAAATTCTTACCCCACTATGACTACACTTTACTCAAGAATCACATTAAAAAAAAAAACAAGGAATCAGCCAATAAAAACCGTAATCCCGATCTAACTCAAAAAACACCATATTACTACACTACATAAATTATCCAAAAAAAAAAAAGCACACACTATACCAAATCGATTGTTATAGCGATGAGAGGAAGAGAGCCCAGTCCCGTGGGCTTGTAAGTCAAGCTTAATTATACCATCCCTTTGTAGCACACATGGATGGGATCTTCCTATGTGCGTGGGCTGCTAGGAGAGAGTGGAGTGGCTAGAGAGAGAAAATTTTCAAACTATCAAATTTTTTGACATCCTTTGAGAAGAGAGCTTAAGATTAGTTTATTCTCCTAAAATTATTAGGTTTTCTCCTAGGATTTCTATCTTGTCAGTCTTTGAAATGGCTATTTGATGATCACTATCATTCAATATTCTGAAAAACCTGTCTTGGAATCTGTCAACAAAATTCCCAATAAGAAACTCGATATTCTGGATGTTAAGAACCAGGAGAACGATCTTTATATAGAAATACTGATGGCTGTACTATCTCCATTCTAAAGTTTCTTGAGCATTGGATCTGCTTCCTCTCGCTCTGCACACAGAGTTATGATCATTGCCAATCAGTTATGACAGAAGGGATTCCCTTATCTCGTCAATATTTCCCTTAATAGGAACTCAAGGGGAAGAGAGCCAGGAAACTATTAAATCATTTGAGGGATCTTGGAGAGAGAGACAGTTTTAGAGAGACAGAGAAATGGAGTATGAGACCATGAATGGGTTAAAGCTTGAAAAGAGGATCTAATTTGAAGATGTGGGTTCTGGAAATCCGGCTAAAAAACCACCGGAAAATGAAAATCTGAGTAGTTCGAGTCAAAAACTAGGGTTTCAGGCCAAACTAGGCAACCACCAAGGTGCCAAGTTGAGGGATGTAGGGCTGATCTTTCAGGTGCGATGCCATATTATTGCAGGCACAAGGAAGTCTTTTGAGCGAGAGAGAGAGAGAGAGAGAGGTGGAAGATAGCGAAGAAGCGGATCTCAAATATATAAAGCATACTTAATATTTTCTAGTGGGTCTGTTGGGTTCATATTACCCGTCTTTCTTTGTATTACATTTTTTAGCTATTGGGGTGGGTAATAGAGTTCATGGTTTTTGAGGAAATTTTAGGTATTATATTTCATTTCCTGCCCACTATGTGCGTACCCAAACACTGGATATGGTATATTTCCTCGTAGTCTATTTCTGCGTAATATAAATACATGTATCCAAACGGCCCCTAAAAGAATGGAACTTGCCCAAACTTGAAAGGCGAACTTGAAATAAAATAACAACACTTTGTTCATACAACATTTTATATATGGATTTGAGAATACCTTTCATGGGCCACATAGGCCTTTTGGATTAAACGGTTACAAACATGCCATACCATCTCCATCATCATTACCAATACAAAAGTCATAAGACTGAAATAAGAAAATAAGAAACAATTATCAAATTGCAAATTGAGATTCATTGTCATTATCATCATCGTCAATTGCCACCACCATCTCCACCATCACTACTTGCGAAGTCATCATCATCGGAGTCAGCCCCCTCCTCGACATATTGCTCGTCTTTGTCTTATCTCCTTTCGAGTCTATCTTCTCTTCCTCCTATATTGATCTCATGCTCTTATTTGAAGATCTAGATCTAGTGGCCCATACAAGGCTCAATGAGCTTCCAACAACTTCACGAACTTGGCACCAGCTCAAACTCTCTCCTAGGAACACTTCATCATCTTCAGCATCGACCAACCCTCACTGAAATCATACATGTCTCTTACAGCAATGGGATCGCTATGCTAGGGTTCTTAATAGAGTGCTTTGCAAACTTTGATTAAGTTGAATATAAATAACGTCATTCACCTTTCTGCTGAATTGCATGAATGCATGATTTAGAAAAATATTATAGAAGTTATGGTTGCTCGAAGAGGGCATATGAGGACTGATCAGACTTAGGAGTCTTGGACAATGAATTAAGAAATTACCTACTTGAATGAGCTAAATCTATTATTGCAACTCGATGAGCTACAAGACAAAGTTCATCTTCAAACAGCCATTCTCTACAAATACTTGGCTTTTCTCCTGCATGTGACCCACCATATAGCTCTATTAAATAAAATAGACCATATCAGTATTTTTCTTTTGACGAAAAGACTATATCAGTATATTTAGGGCGTGACTGGATGATAATTAATGTTTTTCTAGATTACACTGTCTTGTCTAAAACTAATATACTCTGCTTAATATAATTTTGTTAGCTGTTTGTGTGTACCTTGTATTATGCGCATTATTATTTAATTATTTAATTTTTTTGGGTGATTTCCAGTTATTCTTTAGTTATTTCTCGCTAAAACATGTGATTTTCAGCAAATCACCAAACAAGATAATTCACTATGCAGATTAATTTTATTGAAACAATGAATTAGCAAGGATCACGAGTACACCTAAATAGGCCCTTATATTAGTTCACTTATAATGTGGTGGATATTATTATATAAGTCAAGTGGTCAAATTACAAACTGACAATTCACAAAGTACAAAGATTACCTGGATGGGTTTTAGCCTCTGCCTTATTGCTATATCTGTCCCAAATGATTCCATAGAGAACTTATACATAATTAACTTCCCTGTTATGAGGTATTGGACTTCCACTTTGAGGTTGACTTTTACATTGTACATATTGAATCCATCTGTGATTAAACCCTTGTATCCAATTCAATATAATATACCTTGTGGCATGCAAGGGCTTAAACAGCTGCCTGTTCCACCTATCATCTAAAATCTTCAAAAAAAGTGAATACGTCTCTCTTCACAGATAAAGTTCTGTCTTTAATATCTCTTCCTTGCAACGTCTTGTAAATACCGTGGGTGGTTCCTTGTCACTCTCCACCAAATGCAATACCTTCCAATGGATCAAATTCTTGAAAGGATTGCACTCATTCCAAAACTGAGGTTGCTGGACAATATCACTATCTTCTCCTTTGTATGCTTGGACCACTTGCTTTTGGTTTGTTGTTCAAAAACAAAATATGGTCTTGTTGTTTTGGGCCAATATAGAGTAGCGGACAGATAAGAAGTGGCAAATCGAGTCACCCCTGGCCTCACCAGCTCCGTCTTCCCTATGAACTTCCTCAGCATGGCTACGACTTGTGTGCTGTTATATCGTGTACAATTTTCAACTTATTGCCTTAAGCATGAGGTCTTGCTATTCAACGCAAAATGTCCAAAAAATGTGTGGTCTCTTCTCCAACAACAAAACAGGTTGGTAGGCAACATATGGATTACAACCATATCTATAACCACTTGAATGACATACCCCTCACTCAGCTGCCTTATATAAAGGTCTAGTTTACTGAAAATGAACACTTCATTATGAGTTTGCTTGGATGCTTCATGGGACTAAAAAACATTGTGTCATTGTCCTTATTGGATAATTAACCATATAATTCTTAACTTCTACCCTGTATGGTCCACTTCTTTTCGAAGCAAGTCTCCTCGAGCTCATGAGGTCTAGGAGCCTTCAACTTGGGCCCAAACTGTCCCGTTGCTTCCAATATAGCTTCAAAGCTCTTCAAGCTCATCATCATCATCATCGTCCTTTTCCCAACTGATTGGGGTTGGCTACAAGAATCTTAGTCTGCCGTTCTTCTTTATCAAAGCTCTTCAAAGTAACAGCAATAAAAGAAATGCCTACTTGTTATTCCCATCAGGTTATGCATTGACATACCTAATCCTGGTCGTCCTTCTTGAAGCAGTTTCCTATAGTAGTCTGTGTCTTATCTCTAACCCAGCCAGGATGAGGGGAAAACTAAGAATCAATTGGCCACTTTCCTTTGACGCTTCTTCTGCCCAACCCCTTTTGCCCACTATTTTTCACTTGAGCCCACCTCTGGCTTCCCTTCCTCAACATGGTAATATCCATTATCTTGTTCTTCTCAAAAAACATTCAAGCTTCACGACATTCTCATATATATATTTCATTATTTTGGCCCAACTCCAGGTTGGCCAACTTCTCTCACCTAACATTGTAACGTCCTTGAGTGCATGGGGCTACATCACCTCTAATACCCGCCAAATGATTATTTATTCGATGTATGCCGGCATTATAAATATTGTTACAAAACTTGCATGCAACCCTATTTTCATCATTTTTATTTGGGAAAATGGCATATTTCCAACCCATGGCACCTTGTTTATTTGAACTAGAAGATGACATTTTTACCTACTTAACAAAATGAGTAACTAACACCCAAACCTGGAAATCCACAATGAAAACCCAATCTTGAATCTGTATACTATGAGATGCAACAAATTATAGTCCAATTTTAATGAATAAACATCCAAGTTCCAAATATTGAAAAACATTTACTAAACCAAAATGTCAAACCCCAATCCTAGAAAATATCATCAAGAAACCCTAAACCAAACTAGAAAACAATAACAAAACCAAACACTAAAATAATCAAGAAACAAAAGGCCAAGTATTGGAAAAAGCATCTAAACCAAAACCAACTATTGAAAAAAGTTATCAAAATTTTGAAAAGGAACAATAAACTAAAACAATGAAATAACATAGGCCATCTTGAGAAAAGTTCAATAAACCCAAACCAGAACCCAATCATGAAAAGGGGCAACAGTGCCAAACCCAAACTTGAAAAAATATGCACAAAAACTGTAACCAATCTTGTAAGAAACAAATTAAAAATGTAATATTGATAAACATTACCTAACTGCATACTCAAAATACGCTAACCTTTTGAAACCTAATAAAAATTGCCTTGAATCCAAGAGATTTTATTGCAAAAACACCTCCTTTGACACATTTTCGTCTCATAAAAAATTTCTTTCTATCCTTTACAATTTTGCAAGAATTCCAAAGTACCAAAAAATTTGTCAATATTTAAAAGAAAATGTTCCGAGTGTTTTTTTTCATGGCCCTCTCAAATAGCTTCATAATGGTTTGGGGGTTTAGAATACAACCCAAAACCCATCGGGAGGGAAAGGGAAGGAGAGAGAAGAGAAGGGGGGCCAGGAGAAAGGAGGGGAGGAATCAAACAAATTGCCTCTGCTCCCCTATCCAGGTGCCTTTTTCCCATTTTAAAATGCAGGCACATCACCTCCGATGTGGTCAATAAATTTCTAAAAAAATCTAAAAAATTATAAAATTATAAGAATGCATATAAAAAATATATGTGATTTATGTAATAGTAGGTATTTTGGTTTATTCAATATCTCCAACATATTAGTTGGCTGAGACTTCTGAGTCTCCTAATAGCCTGATAAAGAGTAATAGAGTTTGCTGCTTCGGTGCTAATCTTTAATACAAGTAACATGTAAAACAAAACAATCCATTCTATCTCATTTAACATGTCCAAAATACCAAACTTGAGAGCTCAAACTCCAAAGAGAACCACCAAAAGTTTATAAAGACATTAAAACAAAAAGATAATCAACTATTAACAAATAATTCACGTACAAATTTTTTCAGAAACTTTAGATTCAAGAAATAATCCAAATACAATTTTTTATTGGTTTTCAATCATCAAGGACCACCAAAAGTGGTACTATTGTTCTTTTTTCTTTTCCTTTTTCTTTTTTTTTGCGGTGGTGGGGGGGTTGGAATAACCTTTTTGCCCATGCTTGTGGACCAAATTTTTGCCCACGAGCATGGGCTCCATATGTGGGTGACGCATCACCCAATAGCGCAAATGCGGCCTGATGCGATCTGCCTCAGTCTGTAAGCGCATAATGCGGGATGCGGCGGCATTTAAAAACAATGTTCCTGTCCAGTTAGAGACTGTGTGATACCTCCCCAAATTCTCCTTCTATGTTTGTCTCATTGCAAATTTTTTCTTTCTTTGTCATCCCAATGTGATCAACCATATTCATAAGAAATAGAGCTAAGTGGTGATTTTGAATATTTCTATGAATTTTCACCTGTCTTTGATTTCTGGTCTTTCCTTTTTTGTTCATCAACGCAGAGAGCTGTTTCTTTCACTAAATTATACAGAAATGACAATAAATATTGTGTATACAGAGAATACAATATGCAAAAACAAAGTCTGATGTCATTTCAAAGGCAGATGGTACTTTTGTACCGAGAGAAAGACGCAAGCGACATGATGAAAGAGGTTAGTAGTGGACTTTTTAGGAGATACCCTTCCTTGTTGTTTTTCTGCTCTAATCTTAGTTATGTTTTGCTGCAAATTTGCTATGTGGTTGGAAGTGTCCAGTTTACATGATTGGTTATTGTGCTCCATGAAAGGAAAATTATAGGAATATAAGGAAAGAGGTCACATATGTTTGATGCCAATTATTTTTCATTTTCTCTAATGCCTTCAGCTGGATATTTTTATATTTAATAAACTCCATACTTGGCTTTCTTCTTTTAACTCTTCACACTGCTCATAGTGCTGTTTTTTTGTTATGTAATTCTTTCTCTATGGATAAGGTTGGATTTGAACTCAAGGTCATAGTGCTAACAATCTTTATGCAAATAGATAACAGTCGCTCATTACACTTATTCAAAGTATTTTGACCATAGTTTGACCCTGCAAGACAACTCAAATGATGAACCAAGTCATGAAGTGTCATGATTTTATGTTTTTGCGAAAGGTTTGATCAGTTAACCTAAATTGCTAGTCGATTGAAAGGCTTGCCAAGTCCTTCGAGCTAGGTGACAGTATAGACCATTTCTGGACTACTGTGATTTAATTTCAAGGCAGTACGACAAATGGGCTGTTTCATCTGGTAGATTTTATTTTATTGTTTCTGTTTAGGACTTGAAACAAAGCTTGAGAATGCTTGAACTTTGGCCTTAAAGGGACCTTTCCCTGGTCTGACTATTGATGGTTTCCTTCTCAGAATCTTTTCCCTCTACTCACCTTGGTTGTGTCTCTCTGTTGTTCCTCTATCTTCTCTTGTTTTTTATGCATTCTCATATCTCTCTATATTCATTTTCTGTACCTCCTCTTTTTCTCCTCTATCTGCAACCCATCCCCCACAAAAACCCCTATTCCGGACCTTTTTAAATCATATGAAATTCTTTAGTTCTTTTGGGATACAGTTCTGCATGTTTCTGTAAGGTCCCACTTCATTTAATTTGTAGTCAAGAAAGTATAAATATAGCAGCAGATATATGGCCATCTTGGTATTATGAAATTGAGACAATCATTTGCTTTCACAAGCAGATCCTTAAGGTGAGCTGCAACTATTCCACCACGGACTAAACCATGATTGTCTCAATTTGTGTGCATCAGGGCCCTACAATAAATATAGTAGCAGATATGTGGCCATCTAATTTATGTGTAAAGCTTCCACCTTACATGGTCTTTTAGGTGCCATAATATGTCCATCCACTTTGTCTCTAAATTAATTTGAATGCAACTTCTAAACAAGGTTGTTGTTCACTTACTCCCTTTATTTTGTTTTATATTTTGCCTTACTTGATAATAGCATTATCATATTATTGCTGCCTTTTGTTTAGGGAAATATACAGCTTTCTCATACTTTGTCATTTGCAGAGAGAAAGCGCAAGGACCTCCAACACGATGCTAATCAAGCAGGAATGGGTCAGAATTATTCTAATGCTTATGGCGCCGCACCTCCTGTGAGTATGCTCGGTTGTGCAGTTTCTTCTTTGTTTTCTTTTGAAATTATGGCATATTTTTCTTCATAAAAAAAGAAAAGAAATTATGGCATATTTTTCTATGGATCCCTTTTTCTTCCTTGCCTCGAATGATTTTGGCTAAGTAATTTTTATGATGGCTTTACTACATCTCTATTTTCCCAAGTTCTGTGGCCCTATGTAGAGATTTAACTAATAGTATAGAACAAGAAGTAGTTTGGTGAAGATGACTTCTGTTGACATGCACATCTAATTTCGGTTCATTATATGGAAACATTTGATAAACCACATGGGTTTGTATTGAAAATAATTATGGGTTGAACTTGATGTAGATGAGAACTATGAACTATTTTATTGGATCAATAAATTAAGAGAAAAAAAAAGATATTTAGTCATCGGTAAATGAAGAGTGATTCACAAGAATTATCTCCAAATATAGGAAAAGAGCCTGTAAGTTTTTCTTCTTTTAAATCAAGTCTACTGAGATTATATATTCTGAATTTATAGCTATTAGGTTGGACAGGGTCCAGTTTTCCTTTTTAATAATAAATAATTCATTGCAAAAACATTCAGAAGAAACTCAGAACACCAAGCAAGCGAAAAGGTCCTACATGGTATCTCATCCCACAGCCCCATGGGCCCATACTATTCCTGGATAAACTCTTGATTGTCATTCAGTCTACTCCCCCATTCCTCACCGTTTGCGATGTGAATGATGTCTAGGCTAAAATTATTTGACAATGAACTTGAGAGTCGAATCCCTCTTTCTGCAGGATCACATTATGCTGCAACCTTTCATTGCTCCTGTCTATTAGGATAATAAAACTGAAAGAAACTCTAGTTAAGTTTTACGTGCACTAACTTTGGGGCCCATAAACCTCGGGCTGGCAACAGGCCGGCCAGCCTTAACCCTAGACCTGGCTGGGCCCTGGCCCTATCCAGGCCCGGTTGAGCCTAATAGACCCAATAAAAAAGGAGAGGGAGAGAGGGGACAGGCTGTTGTGGCTTAGGCTTGGCCCTCGGGCCCGTTGTGGTGTGGCCCTAGCCCAGCTCTCGGGTGTGGTGTGGCCCTAGCCCTAGCCCAGCTCTCGGGCCACATTTTGTAGCCAAGGCCTTAGTTTCTCAGGGACGGGCGGGGCTGGGCTGGGCTTGGTCTTGCCTTTGGGCCCATTTCCAGTCCCACACAAACCTCTTTCCACTGTACAAAATTAATCACATAGCCTTGGTTCCAACCCTCCTGGAGAAAGGTCTTGCAATTTGGTCTGAGGATGGGCCATATGTGGCAAAAATGTAGGACAATGTAGGAAGAGAATGGCTGAATTCTCTATAGTTTTAGAAAGAAGTTCTACCTTCGCTTGCCTGCGTTCAATTGAGATGCCAGTCTCTTGTCGTGTGTGTTTTCCACATGTTGATTTGTTCCTGGACAGTACTTTCTGTGAAGGGGGAAAAAGAAGGAACTTTTGTAATAAGGTTGGGAGAATTGTATTAGCAGTTTTTCATTCCCCAATATTGGCAAGCAGTGATGTAAGACTTGTTTAAAATTTGAAGTTGGACCTGTTCCTTACATTGTTGATTGACTCTGTTCAGCTGAAATCCTTAAGCCATCAAGAATCTTGTCTGATGATAGTGGATATGGTATATGGCAAACTGAATAACCAATGGTATCCGAAGAATAAGATATGAAGCAGAGCATGAATTGAGCATCTCATATACCTGCCCCTGAATTTAACCATTCTTCTCTGTAGTCGCTTCGTATACTTTGAAGCCTTGTTGAATAAGTGCATAATATTACATTTGACTCTCTCTCTCTCTCTCTCTCTCTCGCATCAGTAACTCGTGACCAATTTTATTGTGCTTGCAGCTCTCTCAATTGCCATATCCTGGAGCCCCGAAGTCAAATATCCCGGAGGCTCCAGCCCCTCCAAACAACATCCTTTTCATTCAAGGTCTACCGAACGAGACAACACCTATGATGCTTCAGATGCTCTTCTGCCAATACATGGGTTTCAAGGAGGTCAGAATGGTGGAAGCAAAGCCCGGCATTGCATTCGTGGAGTATGGGGACGAGGTGCAGGCGACCATGGCTATGAATGGGCTTCAAAATTTCAAGATAACTCCACAAAACCCAATGCTCATTACCTATGCCAAGAAATGATCAACGATGCCCACTCCTTTTGGTTGCCTGTTTTTTTGAGATGGTGGATATGGTTGGTGGCCCCTTGTGGAGGCATTGTGGAATATGTAGGAGATGGTTATTTTGTTCTTTTAATTTTTTTCATCCATTCCCTCGTGGTGCATGTTGCGTTGTTTTCTCATGTGATCATAAGTTGGGTAATCAATGTACAATGGTTAGAGAGAGAGAGAGAGAGAGAGAGATAATGGGGGACTTTGTTGAGGGGGGGGTTCAAGTGCTGCTTTTGTATGGAAGTTAATACGTGGTGGTTTATACAAACAAAATGCTAGAGTTATTAAGATTGGTTATTGAACTTATGAGGAATTTGGCTTAGTCAAAATCAGTTCCACTGCTGGTTGGATTGGATTTTGAGAAAATAAAGAAGGAATAAGAATAATAGTTTACATTTAAAGGTAATTGCCCAATTTTATTTTACCAATCCAATCATTCGATCCTACTGGTCAACTATTAGGAGTGATCAGTTTTTTTATCAATTCTAATTTTTACTTTGGGTTGATCGGACCTGTTAAACTAACTATAAGCTATGATATATCTTTGTGACGTTTGGAATCCTAAAATCTTGAAAAAATTAGAAGATTTGGGAAGATATGTGTCTAAATTTGTGAACCAATAAGAGCAAACCCCCTTAGGCGATTACTACCAATTTGGGCAGACTTGATTTATGCAGTGGTATGGAGGTATCATTTAATCATGTCTATAGAGCTGAAGGAGCGTATTCTTTAGCTATATGGGTTATCTCTTTAAGCTCCTTGGAAATTGTCGAGGGCTCCGTACTTTAATTTGTACTGCACTCAGCCTTCAGCCTTTTTAATAAGGAAAAAGTTTATATACAGCTGAGTCACTATACAATCAAATTAGAGTCCAGCTCAAAAATTTCACTAGAAGAGGTTTTAATGCTTAAATATCCTCAAATTGATCATCTCAACATTAAGATGCATGGACCTGAGAAAAAAAAATGGATTTCAAGTTTTGAAAATAGTGCATCTAGTAATGCATTTTTGGATCGTCAATTTTCTACATTTTGAAGTTTTCATATATCCACTTGATCTACATTGTTTTCGAAGCTTTAAATTTTATAATTAAATATGAAAATATATTTCAAGGCTATCTCAAATTAATATTTAAACCACATTTCTCAACACTATTTGAAGGTGTGCTCTACTTTGACTGTTTAGAGCCTTGGCTCCATACAAACTGCACCCATTTAATAACTGCACCCATTTAATAAGGAAACTTGTTTCATGTGGGTTGGACCGCATTCAGAAAGTGTAAAGCATCCATCTTAAAGACGGATGCAAGTAGGTGTTCCATCTAAAAACAATAGAAACTAACGGTCCAAATGTTTTTTTTACTAGAATTATTATTTTTATTTTAAAAAATTTATTTATTTATTCATATTCATGATCTCCATGTTAGAGATTACATGTCCTTGAAAATTAAGTTTTAAAATCCATCTCAAAAATGGATTTATTAAGAGGCCCGCATTTCTACATATCACTACATATTGGTCCTGCTTCATTAATTGGCTTCTGCAAAATCCATGGACAGTTGTTCTCTTTCTTCATCCATTCTATAACATTTAATGTGTCACCAGTTTTCTCTTTCTTCATCCATTCTATAACACATTATTCTTCATCCATTCTATAACATTTAATGTGTCACCAGTTTTCTCTTTCTTCATCCATTCTATAACATTTAATGTGTCACCTTCCACCATCTAAGGTCTGTTAAACTCTTTGGCTAATTTTAATCCTTGAAGTAAAGCTCTCATCTCTGCTTCATTTGCAGTTCTTCTCAAGGGTCCCCAAAATTTCAAAAGCACATTATCCCTACAATCTCTAATTATGCCTCCTATACCGACTGGACCTGGATTTCTAGTTGAGCTTCCATCAAAAATTAATTTGATCCATCCCATATCAGGTGCTTTCCATATTCCAACTCTAATTTTCTTTGTCGTCTTTTCTTTGAGTAATTCATGAACAATATACATAATATCAATTCTACTAACACCCCATTATTCAACTCAGTGCCAACCATTTTGCTACTGATACCCTGATAATATATCTAGTATCTCCATCTCATTTGCTCAAATTCTCAAATACTTCAAACCACCACTCCTTTAATTACTTTTCATATAATCTTTCCTTTCTTCCTTATTCTTCAATCATCCAATGATTGATTATATGAGCAGCCTGAGATGGAATGTTCATCGGTTTGTCCAGCCAAGTTAAAACCCATTTCCAGATAGTTCTAGCATACCTGCAATTTAAGATCAAATGATCTGCAGATTTCTCATCCCCCATCAAAAGGCATGATTTTACCTCTCTTTCTTAACATATCCACTTTTAAAATCTTATTCAAATGAACCAACCACATAAAGCACCTGATTTTTTTGGGGAATAGGCCATTTCCATATTTTAGCACAATCATTATCCTTCCATCTATTTATGTCATAATAAAATAATGCATAACTGGATTTAACTGAAAATTTACCACTTTTGCTTTGCTCCCATACCACTCTGTCTTTGATACTGGGGCTATAAAAGAATTGGCGTGAAGTACTTATACATTGTACATATTCATCCGAAACTTGATTGCTTACTCTTCTGTAATTACATCTAATATTCCAGGTAGCATTGAAACCTATACCCTCTACCATCTCATTTACCATCTTACTCTTTGATGTTACCTTTGCAAACAAGTTTGGAAATTGTGTTTTCAAAGGCATATTGCCTATCCAATTTTGTTGCCAAAATCTCACATTATCTCCTTTTCCTACCATCATTCTTGAATCATTTTGAAAGAAAATTCTATAGGATACAATGCCTTTCCACATAATTGATCTACCTTTCTTCTTTAATCCTTTTGCCACCAAACCATTTTCTAAATCTTCACCATATTTCTCTGAAAGAATGCATCTCCATAACTAGTATTTCTCTGTTGCACATCTCCACCACGATTTTGTTAAAAGTGCACCATTCATCATTTTGAGTTTCTTCACTCCCATACCACCGTCACAAGTGGGTGTGCATACTTTGCTCTATTTTACCAAATTAAAAACTGCCTTATCTTCATTTCTTCCCTATAAAAAATCTCTCATAATTTTTTCGAACTTCTTTATCACCTTATTCGGTATTTGAAAAAGAGACATATAATAGATGGGCAAATTTGCAAGAGCTGCGTTTACTAAAGTAAATCTCTCTTCCTATAATAGCAAATTGAATTTCCAAGAATCCAATTTGTATTCCATCTTTTGTATTAAAGGATCCCACAAAACAATAGGTCTCACATTTGTTGTTAAAGGCAACCCCAAATATTTGATAAGGAGATTCTCTGCACCACACAACTGCCTATTCTATCATCTTCACAAGCTACGTCATTAATTTGTGTTTTTTTGAAGATTAAAATTTTTGCCCAGTCACAACCTCAAAGCACTTAAAAAATCTCTTCAAAGTTCCGATCTCTTGGTTACATGAACCTATCGAGGATTCTTTCTCCACCCCAAATTTTTGGTAAAAACCTACCCGATCTACAAACCCTAAGTTAAATGTGGTCCCTTCAACGGTCTTAGAAACTCTAGTCTCGAGAGCCAACACAGCCCATCTATTATTTGGATGTTTAGATCTAGGTAGTTAGGAATTTAAAAATCGATCTTTTGAAATATACATCTAATAATTCTAGGGAAGTTTATTAAAATGCATTAAAAGTTTCAACTACTAAACATTGTATCATTCTCCAAGTATTTCAACTTGCCATTCTTTGTCTTACTTTTGAAATTGAAGAAAGGAAAAACAAAAACAAAAAAGGATAAAAATTCAAATGGTTTATGATTTACTCGTACTTTGGTGAATTTCTCGTAATTATGTTTCAATACTTCGAGTCAAACCATGCATCCTGTGAGGGTGTTTTACTCACTGTTTCAAAACTCAGATCAGTGGGCCGGATCATCTCCATGTATCCATGTTCATGTTGTATCATTGGATTAGTGATCTGGATTGGCAATCTAAAAAATTTAAAGAATAAAAAGTAAAATAAAATTTAATATAGGAGCTTATGGGACATGGATTTACAATATTAGATACGCTTAAAAGAAAGAGAAGAAAAAAAAGAGAGAAAATGAACATGGGAGTTTTAGGGGAAAGGACCAGGCCAAAACTAGCCGTTTGTTACCTTCTTAAGATCGGTTCGGTCTCGCTGATTCTAGGTCCGGATTAACGATTCCCAATCTTAATTGCAGGGTTCAAAAGTACCTTTTACCTATATTAATTTGGTCGAGGTCTGTATAGTCTCATAGCATTGTTTTGTCTAGATATGTTGTTTAAGGGTCGAAAAATCTAATGATGTTTCAAAATCTATTTTCCTCTTAAGTTATAAAATTTTAAAATTAGAAAAATATAAATATTTGAAAGTCTTAAAAGGGGAAAAGTTTATATAAGGTTGCAACCTTAAAATGTAGAATCACATATACACCTCAAAAATCTATTGTAAATGTTGTTTTAATGTTGAAAAATCCTCTAATCGATCCTCTCGATATCAGGATGTATGAATATAAAAAAGTAAAAAATTGAGTCCCAAAAATAGTACATCTTACAACGCATTATCTAGACCGTCTATTTTCAAGATTTTCATATATTTATAGATCTATTTGATTTTAACCATTTTTAAAATTCAAAATTTTATAATTAGATATGAAAATAGATTTTAAGACAATCCTAAGAATTTTTTACAACAAAATTACATGTTATGATAAAATTTTGAGGTGCTCCTTAATTGGATTGTTTAAAATTGCAACCTTATAGAAACCGCACCCTCTTAAAAAATAGACTGTCCAAATAACTTGTCACATAATGTACTATTTTTAAGACTTAAAACTCCTTTTTTTCAATGTGTGCATCTCAAGACCGAGATAATCAATTAGCGGATTTCAATTATTAAAACACTCTCATCGTAATGATTTTTGAGGTTTTAAAGTACAGAACAAGTACAAGTTTAACACCTTAATGATTTTTGAGGTTTTAAAGTACGGAACAAGCACAAGTTTAACACCTTATATAAACAAGGGAAAAGTTTATATAGAGCTGAGGCTCTAAACAATCAAATTAGAGCCCACTTCAAATAGTTCATTTGAAGAGGTTGTTTTTAAGCTCAAATATCTTCAAATTGATCATCTCGACATCAAGATGCATGGATGTGAGAAAAATATGGATTTCAAGTTTTAGAAATAATGCATCTTGTAACGCATTTTTTGACCGTTAATTTTCAAGATTTTCAAGTTTTCATAGATATGCTTGATCTACACTATTTTTGAAGCTTTAAATTATAAGTAAAGATAAAAATATATTTTAAGACTATCACAAAGATTTTCAGTATTGAAACCACATTTCTCGATACTATTTGAAGGTGTGTTTTACGTTGATTATTTTGAGATTCGACTCTATACAAACCGCACCCTATAAACAAACTGAGTGCAGTCTCTAAACAATCAAATTAGAACCTACCTTCAAATAGTGTCGAGTGGTTTTAATACCGGAAATCTTTGCGATAGTCTTTAAATATATTTTATCTTTATTTATAAAGTTTAAAGCTTAAAAAATAGTGTCGATCAACAGATCTATGAAACTTTGAAAATCTTGAAAATTGACAGTCCAAAAATACGCTACAAAATATATTATTTCGAAAACTTGAAATCTATTTTTTTTTTTTCATGTTTATGTATCCTGATGTTGAGATGATCAATTTGAGGATATTTGGGCATCAAAACAACCTCTTTTAGTAAAATTTTTGAGGTAGGCTCAAATTTGATGGTTTAGAGCCCTGACTCTATATGAACTTTCCCAAACTTTAAACTTTATTCTATTAGCAAGATTTAAAAAATTGGTGACCCAATCTTGAATCGGGCGATCCGGATTGGGAATCACACATGACGCTCTGGATTAGGCCAAAATACAAGAGTCGGGCGGTTCCAAATAGTAGAATCGCCGATTTTTTTTGTGGAACTACCGATTCCGACGACTCTTCACCAAGTCCGACTGATTATTCACCGAGTCAAGTGAAAGAAAAAAAGAAAAGAAAAAAGATGCACAGCTTTTTCTTGAAGTACTTTTTTTAAAAAAAATTAAAACAAAAATTATTAATTCGATCCGATCCAACATAGGTATGGGTGTGACCGACGTCCATTTTTTTAAACCTCGGTACGAGAGAGGTGAGTGAGAGTGAGAGTGAAAGTGAGGGAGAGGGTGTGGGTGGGTAGGGGACTAGAGAGAAAGACGCCCACGCCCAAAGAGAGATTGGGGGCTAGGTAGTCTTTAATTTCTAAAGAGAGAGAGACAAGGCACTTGATTCCGTGGAGAGAGAGGTGGGGCTACGCATCACTTTTGTTTTTCCGGTAATACAGTGGGGAAGACGGGCTTCTGCCCGTTCGTCTTCTTTTTGTTAAATGGGAATTACATTTTAAATTATATGTGGTACCAGGATGCCACAACGATTTAAAGGTGTTACATGCGGTACCAAGATGCCACCACGACGACCCCAGCCCCTTTCTTAGTTTATCTCTAAAACGGGCAACACTTTCGTAGCTGTTAGCATACGACTATCTGATAAAAACAGGCCGATCTGAACCGTCCATCGAACCCCACTCATCTACTTTAATTTTTGAAAAAGCCGCATTACAATAGAATTAGAATCTCTCTCTCAAACACAACTACACACAGCTACCATAGAGTTAGAATTTCTCTCTCTCTCTCTC